TCTCACTAACACTGAGTTTTTCCTGACAGGCAGGCTCTAAGCAGTCCGCCTCTGAAATATCTCAATTATGTTGACGGCTGCATAAAACATTTAAAGTCCTTTCTCTATTCACGGGCTTTTCATTATTTGCATAAGCATAATGTTAGTGAGCCATATATTTTGTAATTTTAAAAAGCTAAATAAAATTTACGCTGAGTGAAATAAATCACTAGCTTTCTTTCTGCTTTTGCTCTAGTTTTATTATGACAAGAGAATAGTCAAAAGTGGTTGCTTGTGATATTGGCTCATGAACATTTTAAAAAACCCAACTTTTGAACCCTTTATAGGAAAAATTACAGAAATTTGTTGTACTTTTGATTGGAGTATAATAGTCTAGAATATTGTTGATTGTGTTTTTGAATACCGAAAGTTTGAAGTGAAACTTGCTTTTTTCATTGTTGTCATGTTATGTCTTTTATCATGTATGTAAAGTAAAGTAAAGGATTGTCATATTGTGGGTAGTTTGCCGTTCATGTATGTCGATTTGCCATTTTGCCTATTGCTCTTTCTGTTGGTAAAATTAAACAGCAGGCAAGCAGATTGAGCACTTGTTCTGTCCATGTAGAAACCAGGCTTTGTAACCAAACAGGTAGGATGACACCTGAAAATTCAGAAAACTGGTTTGTGGGAACTTTGAGATACAGTTTTTGTTCATGTAGTTTGTTTGCCACATTCTGTGAGACTGTGTATTTTCTGGTTTAATCTTTTGACAGAGCTTTTTGGGAAGAAGACCTCTGTACTCTGTTCTTTTTTTGAAAGATAAACATGATATTTAATCTCCATTGGTTTATTTTCCTGAATGCCTGGTAATGACAACAGACTTCTTCACTAGTGGTTAGATTTTCAGCTGTCATTATGTGTAACAACATAGGAATTCTGACATGTAATGCTTTGCTGTGTGTGATGTACAGCTACTTTTTTTTTCCTGGATGAAGAAAAATACTGGTGAGTTTTTGTGCTCGTCAAGGAGCTGAGAAATAAGTGTTGAATTTTGAAATATCATAATATCTGACATGTTCAGTCTTTTTTTTTTTCAATTTCCGAGGGAAAAACTCTTTGAAAAAGAATTGTCCAAGATGTCTTCTTAACTTCTTATAGAAAAGCTCCCTATTTCATTTTCGATGTTGCCCCAGGCTTTCCAAAAATAAGAACTAACAGACTGCTTGCCGGTCAGTTTTGAACTGCGATGGTGCTGACTTGCCTTAACTACTTCTACTCCCTCACTCAAACGGCTCAACTCCCTGCACCATCCAAGCACACACCACACTCCACATGCACTGTCATAAATTTGTGAAATCTCTAATAATACAAATACTCTTAATTGGTCGCATTTAAGAACAAGCGGGCAAACCCAGATTTCTGGGGTTTCCGGAAATCTTGACCTACACCAAAAGTGGGCATTACCCAACCTATAGGAAAAGTTAAGTTTCATTGGTGTGTGTATTTGTTTGGTTATAGAGAAAACTCTCCTTGTCTTTTAAAGAAACTGAACAAGGGTCCAAAAACTTTACCTTCGATTTTCTCTGAATAGCATTTTTCGGGATAGCACCCTTGTGCTTAAAAGCGACCAGTTTCTCGTGGAAATGATGGATCTGAATCTGAGCAATTAAATGTTACTGCTGGACATTCCATGCACCTGTTTGCTGTCTGTAGGATCAGTACACATGTACCGTGATTGAAATGTCACACACACACACAATGCCTCCTCCAGGAGATGCCTATGTACTATCAGTGTTTTCATGGCAGAGGATATTTTATTCCAAACGAAGTCAATGTGTTTTATGCAGCTTTATTCATCGATTAACTACATGGTGCAATAAAATCTTGCATTTACAGGCGGATAAGTTTGTGTTTGTGAAATTGTGTTTTTCTGTATTGTTATCATCTTTTGGTTTCTGTTTGAGTTTGAGTACGTTTATCTTGATTGTTGTTGTCAGTGAATGTCGTGTCTTGTGTCCCAGTGTCTGTATACTGTTTATGAGCGTGGTACAGTCGGTTTCTAGTTGTGTCCATTGGTTGGATGAAAAGTCTGCCTTTCTTTCTTCAGTTTTTTGGGGGGTTGGGCTGTCTATCAAAGGTTTGTCTTTGTCTTCTCTACCTTGTGTTTGTGTGTCGAAAATCTGTGTGTGGTGCCACTGACTGAAGTGTCTTTAGGCCATTCCCAAAGGGGGGACATTTCTCGTTCATGCACAGTAGAATTTGTAGATGGGCTGATTCAGCAATGTTATGCTCATAACTGTGCCTGATCTACAACCGGGAACTGCTGCTTTTTATTTCCTAATCCTTACTATTGTCATTTTCCTCTACTTTTTTGTATGTTTGTCACACTCTTGTGACCCACTATTTCCGGGGTGCCTTGATAGTCGAAACAGACTTTGTGCTGTTGAAGCTAGAGAGGTGAGCAAAGTAAGCCTGATTCGATGTCAAAAAGAATTCTCTGTTGACATCCACCCATTGGCGCTCATATGACCTTATGCAGTTGCGAGTGCCGTAAAAAAACCTCTACCCAAAAAATCTGCCTCTTTGACCTTTCTCTCTCTCGCCCCCTCTGTGGTAACATTGAAGTTTTCCCTTTTCTCCCTTTGTATTCTCTCTGTCTGTGTTATGTTTCTCTCTCTCTCTCTCTCTCTCTCTCTCTCTCTCTCTCTCTCT